TCATTTTTGCACTGAAAATTGCCGCGATAAAATATTTTCAGACCGAATAAGAAATGAAATCAAATGTATTGTGATCGTAATACTTACAGACTTGATTGTTAGCGATTGTGTACGGTGGCGTTAGTGGTTCAGCCAGCCCGGCTGAGAGTCCAGGGTTGAGTGAGTTCAGGTTAGTGCCCTGGAACTCTTGCGGATGGTGTCGGGGCGTTGTTAGTTGGTTAGCGACCTCACGTCGCGGATGTCTTCTGAAAGCAGCCACTCAAATTATAAGCAATTCAGCCTTTCTCAGAACCTGTCATATTTGAATGCTATGAATTGAATTTCAAACTGCTATCATTAGATGTTGCATTCTTGGAAGGGAAACATTTCTTAAAATTATATGATCCAATTGAAAGTTGTTGAAATAGAAAGAAAACTCACAGTAAGTAAGGACAGTTAGCGACCGAGTTAGTTGAAGTGTTAGCTGACGATGTTGGTGAGGATGGCGATGGTGAGTTGGTGTTATGCTGTTGAGGTGAGTTGGTGTGAGGTTCGGGTAAGTTGTCGACGTGATTAATCTGAAATGAAGGAGAATGTTTTTGGTATAAAGGAGATCAAACATCGAGTGGAAACACGAATTATTTAAATATTCATTGCAACAGGATTTGTTGAAGCTTATGTTTCCGAATATTCCGTGTTGTATTATTAATATTATTATCAATATTATTATCATTATTGTCACGCAGAACATTTTTGGACCACGAAACTCAGAGCTCATTATTAAAAGAATTCAGAAATATAAGATACGAGGATTTGTAGTTGTTCACTTACATCGTTAGTAACCATTTCCCAATGCCGTTTTTTCATCATGCGAGATGCCCACGAGACTCTCGCGGGCATTTTTTGGGGTGGCTCGTTAGTGGCGGTTATGTCCGGACGCGTCGATGGTCCGGGTAAGTTGTCGTTAATATCCTGAAATGAAATTACATTCCTCTATTTCGTATCGTCGAAAATCAAGATTTTTTGAATGCTTCAAGGAGATACGCCATATTTTCGAGAACGTTTCACAATATTAGGTCGCACAAAAAAAACAAAAAAATGAAGGAGAATGTTTTTGGTATAAAGGAGATCAAACATCGAGTGGAAACACGAATTA